TGGAATATAATAAATAATTTTAATTGTTCATTGTTTGGCAAAATATCCAACGCTTTTCAAAATATTTCAATTAAAATGTCCATCTCTTGTCGTTTCGAATATAAAATACAATTTAGTTCCATTTTTCTGGTGCTGAAATAGTTCATTCACACAACGAAACAACCCGAGCGAAACCCGTGGTCATTAAACAGATTCAGATGTTGTGTTAAGTGAATCTTGGCATTAAACGGAAAGCCGTTTAATCGGTGCGTTAACCAAAAAAGGAACAATCCGCTCGTTAAATCAGCCCTTTGTTAAAAACTGACCCGTCGGCAGCTTCGGAATTCCGAATCAAATATCCCGGCAGTTTGTCGGATATTCCGGTATGGGGATGGCATTCGCTGACTATGTTACTTAATTAAATCATGGCCCGTCCATTGTCGACTTCTATGATTAAATTTAAATCGTTCCGTAGGCGACCTTTTGACGGTCGAATCAATTCGACGAAAAACGACTGGAACAAAAAATAGAGAATTAACGAACAGAAATGCGGGGATAATTTATTGTTTATGTCTGCGGTATCGCCATGCACCCCTCCGTTTGATATCTCTCTCTTTGCAACGCGGGAACCAATCAAGCTGCAGGGGGACACAAATGTAAAAGTCGTGTTCAATCTTTTTAAGATTCTAGATTTCTTTGAGTGAAACACTCAGTGTGCAACTATACTATTCTCTTTGCTGGTCTCTTGAAAGAAACACCCTGCGTTTTTCCTAGGCGCTGCGCTCTTAGACACTTATACTTCTAATGGAGTTTGCTGTATTGTTGCTTGTGTAACCCTCACCTAGTCATCAATTTTCATTCGTTGTTAGCGTCTTCCAACACACCAAAAACAGGAGATGCTGTCGCCGGGATTTTCCGAGCTTAGATAGATGGAAAAACACAAATTAATAAATAATCAAGGTAGAATTTATAGGGACGTGAAGATGTTTAATTGTAAGATATTAATATGAAATAATTAAAAATATATATCAAGGCATAAAAAATTCAAGATGAATTTTGTAATCCAACTTTTTAATAATAATTGACGCTAAATCGGCATTAATCAAGTAATATTACTTTAATATTATGTAGAATACTGATTAAAGCTACGAAAGAGACAAATTAGACGAAATTTTATTCAAATTTGTTAAACAAGCTTGCGACGGGTGACCTTATAATACATTTTTTTCTTAATTGAAGAAATTTAACGTCTTTATTTTAAAAAATCACCAAAATAAATTTATTATAAACGCCAAGTATCTGATGATTTTTTAAATGTCTAACTAGCGCAGAAATTTAAAAAATCACCCCATAGAATTTTTTTTTTGGTTATTGTGTTAACTTACTCGGATATTATGTTCATTACGTTACAAAGAAAGTAAATTTTCCTAAATAGATAACGATAGCTCCTGTAAAAAAATTGGCATGTGGAAGAACCAATAAAAATTTTGCGGAATTAAATACTCATTAGTTTTCGATCTACCCAACGGTATTTTACGTTAGGTTTTGGTCTAACACATTATTCCACTGCAGATTATTTTTTTTACGTTTGGAGCGAAATCTAAAAGAAGTGGTATCTAATTTCATATTTTTTTCACGTTTCACAATTCATAAAAACATGGTTTCATGTTTTCAGAAATTCCCTCCCCTCTGAAGTACAATCAAACTAATCTAGTTTTTTAGAAAATAAATACAAGTAATACAGTCACATTATAAGAAAAAAAAGTTCCCACTATGGGATCGAACCCCTCGGCCTTGGCGTTATTAATACACACTCCAACCACTTGAGTTAATAAACGATTGATCAAGGTTCCTCATATACAAATTAGTATAAAATGTTCTTATACAATTTTGTTTTTTTTTTTCCGAAAATCTGGACAGCCAGAGTAAAAACTCAAGGTGGATTCATAAACCACAAGTACAGAAGTATGTTATTTTATAAAATTTAAAAAGTATTTACTATGCAAAATTTTGAGGTGACGTCATCAAATTGTTGATTTGGATGATTAGACAAATTTTTGGGTAGCCTTTTACCATCTGCCCAGTATTCCTAAAATATTTACATATTAAAATTTGACAACAATCGGAGTCTATCTGTCTTATAAAAATGGACACAAGCAATAGACAAACTACCGACTGTCATCTTTTTTTAGAAACATAATACTGCGATACAACGAAACTACTCTAAGATTAATTTTAGCTACAAAGTGTTCTGTTTTTAACACACAACTTAGTTTTTTCTTTTAACACCCTATACCGTGTGTGTAGAAAATGGTGGATTAACTGTCCGCTATGCTTTTAACAATCAACTGGTGAGTCTGAGAGAAATAGTAAAAAAAAATGCTTCTCACATTTTGGTGGAGTTATAATCATTTTAAAATTAGTTCTTTTGCTACGTTTAACAACGCCTTCTATTTTCTTAGCGGGTTGCCATTTGCCAAAATCGGTCTTATTTTAGCAAGTACGAAGCCCGCCCACCCGCCCTCTTAGGTGCATGCAGTGTTGCCAATTTTACTTTAATAAAATTACGTTTTCTTCGTAATCTACATCGTAAGAATTTTTTGATTATTTTTTTGGGACCCCCGACACTCCCGTGCATAACGTACTGAAGAGTCAATCCGCCATTTTCCAGACACAGTATATTTTGATTGACCTCTTCCTATTTTGTTTATTTTTGAGATTCCGATGCAACCTTGACACGTTATTCCAATTTTCCTGAAATTTTTAGCATTTGAAGGGTTCACAAAAAAAATCGCAGTAGCGCTATTTTTAAAATCTGTATTATAATATTGTGTGGAGAGATAAATAAAGATACGCGTTTTTTTGTGTTATAAGTAAACTAAAATTTTCATATACAAAGTATTTATAAAAAATTAATTATTACAATCTTCAAATATCGATATTTCATTTTACTTCATCCTATTCTATTTTTGGTCTCTTTCTACTTTATTAATAAGTATTTGCTATATTTAAAATTGATAGTTACTGAGATTCCTACTTTTTTAATAGACATCGCCATATTTGAAGAATGGGAACAAAAAATAGAGTAAGATCCAGTTATAAAATATAGGATGTACTATTTGAAGAAAAACTGAAATCGATATTTGAAAATTGTAACGTTTTTTGAACTTTTGATAAAGAGTCTGTATATTAAAATTGATTTATTTGATACCACAAGGAAACAAATACCTTTATTTATCTTTCTACAAAATACTGTGACATAGATTGTAAAAATAACCCTATTGCGAATGTTTTTGTGAACGCTGCCATTGCCAAAAAAATAACACTAATAGTCCGTCTAGTTAGAAACAAGTCCTATAATATAGTTCTCAAAAAACCGTGCAACTTTCACCTTTGACTTTTTTCTATCTCTTGTGATTAATAAGATGTCGCGCGCTTAGTGACTCACCCTGTATATGAGTACCAGTTAATCAAAACTATCGAAGATACTGAAGTTGATATGATCATTACAGAACACTATCAAAAATGTTGTTGCCGCCTCTAACGTAATCTCAAAAAATTATAAAATATTTTATGCAAAATTAAACCTATTATTTATTTCTAGTAATAGAGCAAAATATTTAATATTCCAAAAAGGATCTAGGCTGCTCGTGTTTCGCTGCTACCACTATGTACTGTATAATTTTTAATATGGGGAGGGGGGTGATTTTTTTCTACTGACACGCGTCATGGTTAACTAGAGCAGAAATTTATAAAATCATACGTTATTATAATATCACATATTGAAAAAAAATCAGAGGCACGAACATCGCACCACTATTTTTTTAATAACTGTGTCTAATTAAAAATCTGATCAAAACAGCTTCCTCCCATTCTATTGTTTTTCCGTATGTCGTAGTGTTTGTCATTGTATTAGGGACAATTGGCACTTCGATGTCAAACTCAATGTAAAGTTATTATTTTGCGTCGTTTATGAACCAAATAAAAATAGTAAGTCCCAGGAGGCTGCCTTGATGAGCAATAACTAAAGAAGTAGCAAAATTATATATATAGTATAATCGTTTCTCTTCGTTATTATTTCTAAAGTTTTCAATTAATTTTCTATTTCTGCGGGTATTTCCTGATTCAATTCATTAGCCCTTTACGTACCGTTTATTAATAAGTGACCTGGAGTTTTTTGGCCTTCTCTGACCCGCCTCTGTTGGTCAAGCAATCATATCTTTCCTTTCCTTTGAAACGTTTTTGAGCGCAACCCAGAATTCATTACTTTAACTCGACAACTCGATAACGTAGCTAACAAAAACATTTACTTTATTAATTAAATTTTATAAAAGCAACACTCAAACGCTATTAATTTATTGAAACGCAAGTAAATCTGATTTTCTTTAATTTCCAACCTAAATTTTATTTGTGATGTGATGAATGAGGGCTAAAGCGAAAAGTCGTTAGAAGTTGCTCCTTATAGCACATCCCGTTAAGAAGCAATTTTCACAACCCATTACCTGTAGGTGCAAAATGTATTTTGCTATAACTTCGACCTCCACCCTTAACAGCCTTCATCACCCGCGTTGGCATTAACATTTTTCTATCGCTCATTAAGAGTCGTGATTAACCCCATGAATAGTTATCGCCGAACCCCGGTAATTTCAGTCTTGAAGTTACGAGGTCGCAAAATATTAATATCGGCCCCCTCTCAAGGTAGAGGCAGCTAATAGCGATAAACATAAAGAGAAGGGAGTTGTAAAGCCCATCTGCAAGGAGCGTTAGGATAATGACGGCGATGACAATGCGGTCTTCATCTCGTTAAAATTGTTTATTACAGCCGTTCAATGCAGATTTTTCCCAAATCGACTTGCAGCCAATGCAGTAAGAAACTCCAATACCGCATAAATCTCAAACTCGGAACATTTTCCGATAGTTTTGGCGCTAACGCGCACAAAGCGTAATCTTTAATGCATGCAACACACGAGTTATTAGTTAAGTTGGTTGCTATGGGGCACTACAGCATCCTTTGGTTTCAGACGGAGGTGTGTTCGAGTGCCCTCACGGACGTCATCCACGCGGTCATCAATGGGAATGATGGTTGTCTGTTCTGCTTCGGACATGCAGGACTCGGTAAGTGGCTCATGTTTTATTGATGATAATCCGGAGAGGAAGTGCTCGTCCGAACTGTTTTGTTTCAATTAGATGTGATTCCTTAAAACGACAGAAAGCGAGGAGGTGGATCTGAGAAAACCGAGAGAGGTTCTGGCTGTTTTTATACGCTGAAATTTATTTTGTAATTAGCATGACCTAAATCAGTGCTCCGAAAGGGCTCAGCTACAAAGAATTAACCTTGCCGTTTAATTAAATGAAAAAGATTAGTTTGTTGGTTAGTTGAGCCTTGGTTGAATTAAACCTGTTTTCTTGGAGATGTCTGATTACTTTCAGGAAGACTGCAGTTGCGTTACAGTTGCAAATTAACAAGACCAGAACAATTACTTTTAAAACAAAACTTTTAAAATATACTGAATTCTACTAGCTTCCATTTAGATTATTTGTTCCGAATTGTAATTCTTTTATTCTTAAATAAGATTTACTAACATTAATTGAGCGATAGATAAAGAAAATCCTTTTTCAGAAACATTCAGATTTATCTCAGAGAAAGAAAGTCTCCTTTGGGAACAGATAAATTCTAGTTACATTCAACAATGTACCTGTGATTTCAATTTTTTTATGGTTTTAATTTTGTCGAAATAATTTTAACATTATAGATTAAGGGTAGAATCTGAATTGAGCCTTGGTCTTCTTCATCATTAAATGGTTACTTCCATATTTTTTCCTACCTTGTGTTAATTTTTTAATATTGTTCCAACTTATTCCTCTGTTCTTGTTTGCCTTGTTTAGTCCTTGTATCCACGTTTTTCTTGGTCCTCCTTTGGGTCTAGTCCTATAGGTTTTGCTCTAGTTAATCTATCTAGGTTCATTCGCTGGAGGTGACCGAACCTTCTTAACTGATTTTCTTGCATTATGGTATTAATTGACTTTGTATGCAGTTGTTTAATGTGATGTTCCATATATAGTTTCTTTAACTTTCGTTTTCTATTATTCGTAGGTGTATTTTGTGTTCCTTTATTTTGCTGTATGTTATTGTCGGGACTACAATTTTTGAGAAAATTTCTGTTTTTATATGTTTTGCTACAGTCTTCCTGATTGTGCAATTCTATGGTTTATGTTTTCGTATTTTTCTTCCTGTTCATTGTTTATCTTTAATTTTCTGTTTTTCTTCTTTTTACTAATTTTCATTATCTTTGGTTTATTATCTTTGTTAATTTTAATTTTTACTTCCCGGGCGTAACCTAAGGAAGTATAATAGGGTCCTTCCGGCTACTTATATGTTTTCTTGACCACTCCTGACTCTTAAGATATGAAAAAATAGCCCTCCCATTTCCGTTTGTCTGTCGTCTATATCAATTTTTATTGGACCAATAATTTCCTAAACTACCAGACGAATTGTTTCAAATTTGAAATGTTGCTTGGGAATATCGTGTAGATGGTAAAACACTAAACGCTAATTAAAATTTGTGAAATTATCCCCAAGAACAATTTGATGACATCACGTCAACATTTTGCTTTGTGAATACTATTTCAATTTTAAAAAGTAACATACTTTTGTACTAATGGCTTATGAATCCGCCTTGATTGTTGTTGTAAGATTTATACGTCGGAACCCGGGTCCACTGAACGGATTTTTGTAAAACCTTTTGAAATGTGTTAGATTCTACAACTTATCAAAACAAGTCAATGAAATAGAGAAAAGAGGTGGGCGGAGCTGAATGTAGCTTTTTTCTGAAGAGTCTTATAAGCAAGCAGTAGCCCCGCCCAACTACCCCCTCTTCATTTCAATGACTGCTCTTAATATTGTTCAATCTTATCTTACCAAGTAGTAGCCCCGTCCACCCACCCTCTATTTTCTTAGAGTGTATCCCATTTGCCCAAATTTGTCTTATTTTAGAAAATACCAGGCCCGCCCACCCGCCCTCTATTTTTCTAGAGGCTATGTGATTTGCCAAAATCTGTCTTATCTTAGCAAGTAGTAACAAAAAATGAAAAACTGAAAAATTAAAAATTGAAAACTCGTCAAATTGCTAATCGAAAAATTGAAACAATTTAGTAAAAATTAAATTGTATTAAAAAAATATAATCATAGATACTATTATATATCAATATAAAGTCCAACTTCCGGTCTTCGGAGCCAATAAAAATGAATGATCAAAAGGGAATCGGGGTGGGTGGGCAGGGCTATTTTTGCTTTGTTTTAAATCTTACTATTCTACAACTTGTCAGAAGAGAATCCAATTTCTATTTTACATTGGACCCTCGCTTCGGAAGTACAAGTCCAACAAATCTTGCTTTTTGAAAAATTATAAAACTAGGTTTTGCGTTTTTCGTTCTGTGAAAACCTCTATAAAGTAAAAACCAGCAGCATACATGCATACAATACATGTAAATTTCTCTATTAACTCTAAGGGTTTTTTTTTGTTATTTACAGTAAGGTGAACACTTACTCTTGGATATCTCTTCCTCTTCTAAATCCACCTTGGGTGTCTTCTATTGTCGGGTCTAAACGGTTTCTTAATTTTTGTAATATGATCCTTCAGTAGATTTTTCCTGAATACTTGAATATGTTATCGCCTTGTAGTTGCATTTTAAGTGATCCACTTTTTGAAAATTGAGGTTATGATGCCGTCTATCGAGGCTCTTTTTTATTGCTCTACTAAATTCAGTATTATCACCTCACTTTGCTTTCTGCAGCTTTTTCCATTTCGTCCTGAAGTTTATGTTTGAATCGATATATGTTCTTTCATCACCCATATTTGCGTCTTGCTCTTTGTCTTCTAGTAATTCTTAGAGATATTCTTTTCATCTTCTTATACTTCCATTTTCATTTTTAAGTGTTTGTTTAACAGGGTCCATCCGACGATTGGCTACTTTTATGTTTTCTTGACGTTTCATGACCTGTATAGTATGGAGAAATAGATTGGCCGCTTCCATCAATCTATCATCAGCCGTCTGTCTCTTGTGTAGATTTTTATTAGACAGATAATTTCCGAAACTACGCACCGATTGTTAAATTTTAAATATTTTTTAAGAACCTTGTGTAGATGCTACCCAAAATTGGTTTAATCATGCCCACCAATAGTTTGATGACGGCCACGAATCGCTGCTTTCAGGTTTTCTCGTAGAAGTTCTCATAAGCAATAAAATTCGCAAAATTAAATTTTATTATTGTTCCAAGAATCTGTATTTGTTGACCTGTACTTCAGAGACGAGGGAAGTACTGTCTAATTAACTTTAGACTAATTTTGATCTTTTATCTTAATTAGGTAGAAGTCTATTTTACTTCGAAATTGTTTTAGCGTGTCAAAGAAATTTTTTTGATTTTTTGTGGATCTGTACCATCTTTCCTTCCAATTCTTTCATAACTCTTTTCTACTTTTAGTAGCATTTTTACATGTTTGTGTTTTTATTTATGTTTGTCATGTTCTTCTAGTGCTTTGATCCGTGGTATTTTTTCCATGTTTTTTTGTTCCTCTTTGCCGTTTTATTATGTTATCTGCCCATCATGTCGTTTTGTTAATAACATGATTCAATATTTATGCTTTTTAACAGCTTATGGTTTTAATTCATGCTTAAAATCTTGGTCTGTTTGATCGTTTTCTCTTTTACATGGGACGTCCCTGGCAGGGATTCCACCTGCTCTGAGGGTCTGTAAATTAAGTTATTACCCTCTTCACTGTTCTGAGAATAAGCGTTAATTTCCAACATGTTTAATTTGAGTTGCCCTAAGTCATATATTGGCTAGTAGTCCCACAGACAAATGAGTGTGACTACCAAACTCAATCACTCAGTATATTATAGTGTATGAAGACAGCTGTTACTTTAAGTTTGTTCTAATTTAACTGAACACAATTTATTATCCAGTCTCGTCACTCTTAGATTTTTAATATGCAAAAGAAATTAACACAAAGGCACGCTGCTAATTCATCAAGCCACCATTCCTGTGGGACACCCAATGTAGTAGACTCCGGTATTAAGAAGCTACCGGAGAAAATTCATTTAGGGGCCGCTGATGAAGAAATGAAATTATAGCCGTCGGTTGATGTGACAAAATACCGAACGGAACGTAGCCTCTGTATAATTCGTCGAAATGAAAACAGTGGAGATGCCTTTAGGCTTGGAACACCTGTCTGAAACTAATTATGATTAATTTTCGTTATTTCCAAAGATAATCAGTCAAGGGGTAAAAGGAGACAGAGCTTTTTAATCGTAAAGTTTAGCGACTCCGTTAATTTTCAGCTAATTAAGTGTGCAAACAGTGCTGAAGTAAGATTGATCTCCCCTGTATTAGCCCAATCTGTTAATTGAAAAACACGAGCTAGCTGTGTTGATAATTATTACTTAAATTAAACAGACTGTGATTAATATCTCTGTCTCCGCGATGACTTAGGGTAAATTCTTGACTGTCGTCAGATTTCTTCACTGATCGACGGTGAATTTCATTTCAATGGATGTATAGGGTGACGTAGTTGCACTTGCCCCGACTTTATACCCTTTAGGGCATTATGCTACGAAAACAACGAAAAATAACAGAGTTGCGAAAAAGACAAACACGTGCCAAAGCTTTTAAAAGTATCGCTAATTGACAAAAAATATAGCGTAAAAACATCTAAACCACACCAAATCATCTCAGCGCGTAATTTCAGTAAAGATTTACGATGTCATCACTGTCTCTATGGAGAAATTTAACCCATATGGGATTTAAGATCGATATAACAACGTGTTCAGATGACGTCATCGATGTTTTAGACGAAATGCATAGTTAATTTTGATTTGTATTATCATCACTTTCAAAGTTATCAAAATATGTTCAATATAATACAGGGTTTCACTTAGAAAAGTACGTCTTGCTACTTTTATGTTCTCAAATAATGTAAAATAATAATAGTAATAACCATTTACGGAAATATATTTCTTGTTTAAATGCATTGAGTCGAATTTCTCTGTAATTAGGGTTGCGATTATGGTCGTGACGTTTATTTTTAGCCGAAACGCATCTATCCGTTAGTTGTTGA